ACTGGCTCTAGCTGCTTCCCTTTTCCCCACAGCTGCCTTCTAGATACCCTGAGCAGACCCAAACAGCACTCAGAAACACCATCTAGGGTGATGTTCAGAGGCAGACCAACACCAAGATCTAAGTTGTGTGTGTTTTCTGTTTGCAAAGATGGGATAAAGAGCTTTTTGGGCATGGGATGTGCCATGCTTGTGCTGGAGTAAGTGGGGTGGTTTGTAGTCTGCACTATGACCCAGTGGTTGCCCTGTCCTGACTGTGTCATGTCTGGGGACCCCTGAAAACAGGCAGGAGCTGTGGGGTGGGAATTTTTCTTTTTACTGGCAGTGCTATAGATAACAGAGGTGTATGGGGTTTCACTGAATGTGTTTGTTTGCTTGTATCTGTGTAGCCTACTGAAATGGCTCCAAAACATTCTCAGCTAAAAGCGTGAGCTGCTCCATTTTGAGCTTAAAAAGTCATTTCTGTACCCAGGAGCTGTACTCATTCTCGGTGGAGTGGGCATAGTAACACACGCTGTGCAGTGGATTATACTTATGTGATTATAGCCTCTAGGCAACAACCTGGTGCTTAAGAAATGAGTCAGTCAGAAAGACCAAGGCAGAGGGAATCAGATTCAGTGACGATAAGATTTGCTTCCAGAAGATCTGGACTGAAGTGTACAGCATTCCTTCAATATATGCTTGTCCTAATAGCCAATTAAACTGCAAATGCAGGAATATTTTGTGTTACTTGGCGTCTCACAACAGTCTAAAGAAGTAATAAAGCAATAACCACACACAAGGTCTTGCAATATGACAGGTTAGTTTGGTACAGAAAGGCAGGAATAGCTGGGAGATGTGAGTGAGAGCCAGGCAGGCTGGTGATAGCTGTGTTAGTGCAGGGAGATCTGCCTATGCAGGTTCCTGGGAAATACATCCAGGAAAAGGGAAGAGACAGGATGAGAAGGCAAGAAATTCATGTGGGGAAGCAGTGGCAGGAAGAGAAAAGAACAAATGAGAACTGGCAAGTTGATAAAAGAACAAAAAGGCTTTGTCTCTCATTAAAGGCAGCTAACTACAGAAATCATTTTCCCATGCAAGCAATTACTGCAGTTACCCCAGGGATAGTATGTGGTTGGAAATGGGAAGACGGGTTCTTTACATTCATAACTGGGTCTGGCAAGTGCTCCACCAATATGGCTCATGGTGCTGTGGGCCATATCAGGCAAGCAGAGGAACTGAAACTTGATTGTGCAGATAGATGGATTCCCTGTTTTAAAAATTATCTTCCATCTGTATGCAGGGTTAAGCCACCAGCCATGGAACAGAAAGAACAGAGGCTTCTAAAGGTGACAGGAGGTTTGGTTCATTCCTCTTTCACTGCTGACTGTAGCAGTTGACAGCAGCTTACAGCAGTCAGTGAAGTCACAGTCACATAGGCATGAGTCAGGTAAAAATCAGACTCAGACTGAGGTTCCCTTTCAGCCTGATTTTCAGAAATGCTGAGTGCAGACAGCTCCTGTCTGTGTCTGACAGTGCTTTTCACCCTGTAGAATCAGCTTTTGGCAACAGGTGTTCTGTTGGGGCTGAGAGAAATTCATAACGAGATGAATGATCATGATCTGATCTTAGATCCTAGACTTTATCTCATGAGTGACCAAGTCATGACACCAATGAGGTCTCAGTCTGACAATCTCCTGTTGCTCAGCTGACCTTAGCCCTGGGTATAAATTTCAGTGTCTTGAGGCTCTCCATTTACTGGCACAAACCTATCTCAGTGCTTGTCCTGTAAGTCTTTTGACATCAGCCACTCCAAAATTAGAAACTGATGATATGGAAAGCTTAATAACATTAAAGAAATGCCAACCCATCTTCTCTGCTGCTTTGTGCTATGCTTTGTCCATCTGAGGAATTTCTTGCATTTCACAGCCAAGAGGAGGATGTGGGTTCAGGATTGTTCCCCAGCAGGGATATGATGCAGCTCAAGCCCCAGACTAGGACTCCATGGCATTCAGGTTACTCTCTATAACACCTCCCTGACCCATCTCCTGTATGATCTTTGGTCTTCTCCTCATTCTCCTTTCCAGGAGTTCACTGGCTTTCTCTCACCTTTGGTCTTGCTGAGGTTTGGTCTTAACTCTTTGGAGTTACAAGCACATTTGTAACATCCAGAACAGGGCATCCCACATCTCAGGTGAGGCAAGTCAAGCCCTAGAAATTTGGCTGATCCTGTCTCTTTCGCTTCCCAGGAAATGGTGCACATTTATTCATGTAAGCCTCCTTTTAAAACTCGTTTTGAGTTTTATTCTCTCCAAAAGGCAGTTTTTTACTCTTGGGCAATATCTTGTGGATGCTGTTCCCTTGGTGGAGGTCCAGCCGCACCCCTCGGGAGATGGCGTGGCCACTCCCCAGCTGCAGTGAGAAAGTTTCCCTTTGCAGCACTGAGAACGGGCAGAAACAAAGAGCAGAGAGGAGGTGGGGAGGAGAAGAGAAGAATGAGCTAGGTTAGGGGAAACACAGCCTGGAAGAAAAGGAAAGGACCAGCTGATCTGAAAGTTCCGATAAAAACCCAAGACAAAGGCCAAAAGAGCCTGGGAGATTATCAGGGGAAACGGGAGGAGGAGCAGAGAGATGCAGCAGAACCAAAGTGGGAATGATGTAAAATGCTGCAGGGAGGAGGGGAATTTCCTACCTAAAGCAGAGAGTGGTTTAATTTACTCAACCACTTCCATTTACAAGAATACAGGCCCTTTCTTTCTTCTGGCTGGGAGCACCCGACCGAGCTGCTCCAGCAGGAAAGAGTATCCGTGTCCATCCCATAGCCGTGACAGCGTCAGCCCCGATTGCTCATCTGTTTCCAAGGACAGCTGAGACATTTTGCTGGTGGGCAGAGAAGTCAGGGACACTGCATCCAGCACCCTGCAGCAGAGGAAGCATTAGTACTGCTGTTGTTAGCCTTGTTATTTTCTCCTAATAAAAAGGTGGTCGTGACTCACTCCATTAAGAAACAAAAGCAGAGTTGTAATCTACTGAAAAGCAGTTGTTTGGATGCTCAGCATTAGGCGTGTAAAAGGAGGAAGGTCAGCTGCAGGTCAGGTCTGGTGATATACACCCTGCCACCAGCACGGGCCAAACATCAGGTACTCCCCAGACAACTGATTTTCTGGGCTGGGGTAATTTGCCCCTGCTACAGAGGTATCACTTCAGGCAGGAGTGTGGAAGGAGAAAAAGCTCGTTTTCTCACCCCTCCACATTTCAGTTGGGTTTCCTGAGAGGAAATGATATGTGACTGTGCTGGCCCCCTCCTTCCTCTCAGGAGGGAGGAGCACGCCAGCATCTGCTAACAGCACCTCTTCCCCTCCCTATGCCCCACTGGGACCAGTTTGCCAGCTGAGCTGTTCCTGGGGTCTGAGTCCCAAGGGAAGCAGGCTGCTTGTCAGAGAGGAAACAGTGGTCCCTGAAGCTGGGGGCTGAGAGGCAGGAAAGGCAGGTTGTGTTCAGGTGCTGTGGAAGTTTCCTGTGTGAGCAGGACTGGGTCACAGCACCCCTGCCTATGCCAGCTTTCCCATCTAGTCCATGTGAAGGCTTTTGGCACAGCTGTGGTGATCCACTTCTGACAGGAACCGTGCTGGCACGTGGGTCTCACCCAGCCATGTGGCTCTGACAATGCCCAGCTGCCTCCCAGGGTGGGTGCAGGGCAAGGGAAGGAGCCAGGCTGCCGTGATGGCAGTGGCCAGGTGAAGACAACACCCACGCTGAGATGTGCTGTGAACATCTGCCCCTACCCACAAGCTACTTCTATTTTTATTCCATCTCACACCCTGGCTGACTCAGAGGAGGGGAGTGAGGGGGGGTCAGGTTAGAAGGAGACAGATGGGAGGACTGTAGGGGAATTGAAAGAGGAAGAGGAGGAGGAGTTGCTTCAAAACCAGTAGTTGCCATTCTTTCAATCAGCTTGAACGTTTTCTTCGCCCAGTCGCTTTTGTGCTTCTCTGTTTCAGCTGCAGGCAATTTGAGGCAGGGATGGCACTTCCTGCCTGCAGTTAAGGTGAGCATTCTTTCAGGGCACCATCAGAATAAATGACACCCTGCTCTTAGACAGCTGCACTGTCATCTGCCTGGGCTTTAATGAGCTTGACTGGAGTTCACCCTTTTGCTTAACTTCTTCTAGGAATTTCCACTCCTCGTTTTGGTGCCTTTACAAAAGTATCTGCAATGAAAGCAATGAAAGGGCAAGTGCCAAATTTCCTAATTCCTGTGTGTCTTAGTGTCACGACTTCTGGACACAGGCACAGTCAGTGGTCTGTGGTGTAAGTCTTGCAAGTCCTTGAGACACAAAATTACAGCCACAGGGAAAGGGACCCTCCCCTCAAACAACCATAGCAGCAATTTTTGTATTTATTGCAGGTGGCCCTCTCATCCTTGTCCCCATTGCTTCAGAGCTTTCACTAATTTTGCAGAAATGGCACATCTTGCTTTGTCCCAGTCCACTACTCTTTGTTTGTTCCTTAGGCTGTAAACCTTGGGCTAAGTAACAGCATCCTCGGGTTTGTTCCCCAGGCAACAACCCGGGGATCAGTGTTCTCGCTGATCACTCAGTTGCCAAAGCTGCCTTAATGCAAACCATAGCCTAAGCAGGGGACCCAACTCTTTCCGAGAGGATCTAGGAGCGGGCAGCTCCCACCCCGCAAGCAGCAGAGCTCTCGAAGGCAGGTCTGCCTGGGCTCAGGCTTTTCTGGGGGTGAGGATACACAGTGAGGGGGGAATAAAGGGAACTGAAACTCCATTCGCAACCTGGTGTGAGAAGCCTGCCCCAGCGCTGCCCTTCCTCCCTTCCTTCCTTCCTCCCTTGTTTCCTTCCTTCCTTCTCCTCCGTCCCCCCGGCACGCTTCCCTACTCTCCTGACGCGCTGGGGAGGGGGCGGGGGTGATGTCGGGATGAGCCCCAGCCGATGAGTGGAGAATTTTTGCAGCGTTTTTCAGCTTCCTCTGCCTCCGATGCTGACCTACCGCCGCTAGGGAGGGAGGGGATCCCCGCCAGGGGGCGGCGCGCGGGGCGGGGGATGTCCATGTTTGGGAGGCGGGCGCGTCACTCCCCTTATATGGGCAGTGTCGTCACGGCCCGGCCTCCCATTCATATAAATGCCCGGGGCGCCGGCCGGGATTCCCTGCCCGGGCTCGGTGCGGCCCCGCGGTGCCTCCGTCCCTCCCGTCCCGTCCCATCGCCGCCGGCTCCGCGCTAGCACCGGGTACCCTCCTGCCGCTCTCTCCGCTCCTGCCCCGGCTGCGGCGGGGCGCTACCCTCGGCCGGCATGAAAGTCACGTCCCTCGACTGCCGCCAGCTGCGGAAGCTGCTGCGGAAGGAGCCCTCCCGCTGCCTGGTGCTGGACTGCCGGCCCTACCTGTCCTACTCGGCCTCCTGCCTCCGCGGCTCGCTCAACGTCAACCTCAACTCGGTGGTGATGCGGCGGGCCCGCGGCGGGGCCGTGCCGCTCCACTTCGTGGTGCCCGACGCGGCGGCCCGAGCCCGGCTGCTGCCGGGCGCCGAGGGGGCGGCGGGGGCTGCGCGCCTGGCGGCCGTGGTGGTGCTGGACCAGGACACGGGCCACTGGCAGAAGCTGAAGAAGGACAGCACAGCCCAGATCGTCCTCAACGCCCTGCTCTCCAGCCTGCCGGAGGCCGGGGCCAGGGTCTGCTTCCTGAAAGGTGAGAGGGGTCGCGGGGACCCGAGGGACAGGGGCTGGGGGAGAGCGGCGCGGTCGGCCCTCAAAACTCCCCCGGTTGGCGGCGGCCCCGAGGTGCTCCCGTTCCCTCTCCTTCGCCCTGCAGTGAACCTGATTATTGGTGGAGGGCAGGGAGGTAACACCGGGATTTTGTTTCTTTTCCACCTACTGGAAATAAATCCCGGATAGACTCTGCTGGCTGAGCCGAAATGCCTTTCCGCTCAACCCCGCCACGCGTTTAAGAGGCCGAGGGGAAAGCAGAGAATATCAGTAAAGAGCAGCAAAAGTTGCAGTTTATCTAAGGGGGAGAGACATCGGCGCTGCATGGGAAACAAAATCAGCCCTGCGGATATGAGGAGAGACGAGGCCACCGCTACTCGCTCTCCGCCCGGTGACACTTGGGCGCCCGCAACCCTGGGACCGATGCCCGCCCCTCCACCGAGGGCGGAGAGGTTTCTCTCCCTCGGGCACATCGGGACTCTGGCAGGGGAAACCTAGAGGCGAAACTCCGGGGCTCGTCGGGGGACAGAAATACCTCCTCCCCTCACGTGTATTACAGCCCTTCGATTGCGGTTCTTTGTTTTCCTTCCGTGTAACCCGGGCTAATAAAACGATAAAGAGCATAGCCAGCACAGCAGCCCGCCCTTTCCCCGTCCTTCCGCCCCTGCCTCCCCCCACCTCTGGCAGCGCCTTTGTCCTTCTGCCCTCTCGGTTCTGTCAGCGCAGCCCCCACCTGCTCTGGGAGCGGGGCCGCTCCCGCCCCCAGCCCCGCACACGCGGCGCCCGCGGGGCTCCCGCAGCGGTACCAGGCCGAGGAAGGAGTTTCCAAAGACCCCCTTGCCATACCATGAGGCCATAAAAGGGAGGGGAAAACCAGGCGATGTTTCTTGAATAAAGCCTGCCCCTGTGTTCTAATGGGCCAAGGTTAATTCACTTTTAATAAGCCTTTTATCGCTAGTTTTTGACCTGAGGTACCCAGCTTTAGCCTTCTGTAACGACCTCCTGCTGGGGCAGAGGCACCTTCAGCCCGGGTATTGCCTGGTACCGAGATGGGGGATGCTCCCCGGCTGTTGCCACCACCCTGGTTCTGTCCTGCCACTATCAGCCTTTGCTGGATCTGGCAGTCACCTCAAAAGCACAAATTCTGCTGCTGGAGGGTAGAGATACTGGCACTGTGTCATTCAAATCCTTAGGGACTACACTAAACTGGAGATGAAAAAATATCTTCAGGGTCACGGGTGGAAGTCTGTGGTAAACTAGGGGCCAAATTAAGCTCTGCTGACTCTCAAACTGCTTGTTTGGCCACACAATCATCCTTTCCTCTTCATGTACCAGCCCTACACTTTGAAGTGGTGACTGTGGCTGTGGGCAGTTTATCCGGAGTGAGGGGTTACTACCCTGCTTTGTACATCTTGTGAGTTGTGAAGTGTCTTATCTTGAAAGCCTGTTGATTTGAGGCTAAAGACATTTCCTCTCAGTGTATGAGAAAGTTTCCTGCTGCAGTTTCCTTTTGCTTTTCTGGAAGTGCTTGGGGCTGCAGGTTCAGGCCCATGACTCAGTGGGCAGCACTGGTGATTCACTGGGGCCACAGACCCCCAGGAAGCTGTTGGCCTGGGGGAAGATCCTTGGCACAGTGGGGATATAAATCACCCTGGAACACTGTGTTCTGATCAGGAGAAAGGGTCCTTTGGAGGCCTCTGCTACCAATTTTGCAAATAATAGGCTGTAAAACCACCAGGAAAAAACCTCCTTGAGGTTTCCCCTTATATTCCTGTTCTCCCTAGGCATGGAGAGCTGGGAGGAGGTATTGGGTACTTAAGTGCTAAGGGGGTCTCGTGGCAATAAGATATGAGGAGGTCATCAAGACCACCAGGTGATTAAGATGCTGAGGATCTGGTCCCAGAGAGAGCAGCTGGAACTGAGGCATTGCATGCCAGGCCCCGTTCCTTCCGTTGCTTTCTGGTTTGCAGGGTCACATCTTTCATCTGTGTAGGTGCAGTTTCACTCTGGATGAGCTCAGCCCCAGCACAGTGAGAGTGGTTGTGTGTCAGGGGGAAAAAAAAGATAAAATAACGGATCCTCCCTTGGTGCTGATAAGGATTCTATTACTTATTGATTAAAAGGGAAGTGCAGCTCAGCTCTCCATGATGAGCAATTGAGTATTTGCAGAAATGACCTCAGGGAAGGTAGGTTGAGTGGGGAGGGGGAAGAGAGGAGATTGCTGGAGGATGGGATGAGCAGATGACTCACTGTAAGAATGGCCTGCAAATATCCTGATCCCCAAGGCTTGTAATTAACCATTCACCAGCTGCATGTGTTAGCTGCCCCAAGAGACACGAGACATGCATGTCTGTCGAACACACATGCAGGTTTGGCTTGGGCAGATTTCTGTGTTCATTCAAGTGTAAAAACAGCAACATAAGGTGTAAATGAGGATCATGGTTATTTATATAAACTGGACATATTTTTCCTATGTGATGGCGGTGACTGGGGAGTTGGGGGAAGATAAGGTCAGCTATGCAAAACAAAAGATTTAAAAGTTCGCCCCATGAAGGGCAGTTGGAGATCAGGGAATTCTATAGAGCTTCTTGTGTTTGTTGTTTTTTCACACTGTCAGTTGCTAGGGATATAATTTTTTCAACCCAGTTGTTGCAGCTATCATTTTATCAAACACCTCCCACCACCACCATGGTCTCCACGGTCACTTGACTGCTTGGACACTGCCTCATGCTGTGAGCTCTGGGATGAGCTGGCAGAATGTGGCTGGGGGTAGGAGGAAAGGTGCAGGTGCTGAGTGCCCGTTTGCTGCAAGGTCACTCTTCTGCCCTCTGTCATGGAAAACAGACTGTCATCACATTCAGTGGGCTTTGGATCATGCTGGCCACTTTCAACACGAGGACCCCACGGTAGGAATGAGTAGGCGACAGCAGCACGTCATGAATTTGAGCACACAACTGCTCAAACATTGCGAACAGATGAGACACCGGCACTGCGGGGCTGAGCTGTCAGAGGCGGCTGCACCGGGCAGCCCCGGCAGGGAGGCTGGTGGGTCCGGGGCTGCTCTGATCCTCAGCGCTTCCCTCGGTTCAAAACCCTCCCTTGCACCCGGGCACCCGCACCGACTCAGCTTATCAGGGTGAAACAGTTGCAGGTGAATGAATCACAACGAGAGGCTTTGCCTTCCAAGCCTTGTTTACTCGAGGGCCACACTGAAGGATTATTGAATGTAGCTGGTCAGGAGCCATTCATTTCTGCTCTGAGAAAGCACAGGTGGCAGACATGTGGCACACCATTGACATTTCCAGGCTGCTTCTGCTACCTGACTTATTCAGGTACTTTTTGGAGATAATGTTCTTCCATGCCGAATATTCCCAGCCTGGAAACAGGCAACAATTTAGCTGACGACAAACTTTGAGTAACAATGTAATAATAGGATTAATTCCTTTTCATTAGCAACACACTGAACGAAATGAACGCAGTACTTAACCGTGCAGAATAGCTCATGTGGGGCTATTCAGTTGTCAAATGTTGTCACAGGATTTCATTAAGTTTTATAGCTGTTATTTAATAGATTGGTTTCAGTGGGACCATCTTCATTACTTCACTGTCTTCATGCATTGTGGTGATTAATGAGACACATGCAAGCATCCCCCTCTTGTGTTTATGTCCATTTAAAAACGCAAATAAAATATTTTGTGTGTTGTTGTAGTGAATATATTAATGACAGGTTTAGAAAAGATGATTCTGAGTACAGAAATCTCTGCCTCAAATGTTGGAATTAGTGCTCATGTGTAAAACCTGGGGGGCGGGAGTTTAGTCCCCACTGTACAGGAGTTAATGGTTGCTAGACTCAACAGAATTACATTTGCTAACAGATTTAGTCTGGATTCACTGGGTTTTGGCAAGTTAATAATTGTCAGTGGTACCAGAGGTTTTTCCTTGGGTGCCCAAATCCTTTTAAGCAAACCCATTTTCCCAGAGGAGCACTATCCTTCATTGACACTCCCCTGGAGCTCATTGCTGGGCACTGCTATCCCACTGCATTGCTGGAGCTTCCTTTGTCCTTCATTTGAATTAAACTAGTCCTTGGGAGGGCAAATATTCATATTTTCTTCTTTTTGTTGTTTCCCTAGGGGGATATGAAACCTTTAACTCTCAATATCCTGAGTGCTGCGTGAATGGAAAACTCATTTCCCCAGAGAGGACGGAAGCAGAGAGAAACCTTTCCAGCCACTGTGAGAAGCAGAGTGCCAACCACAAACCTGCTTATGACCAGGTGTGTGCCATGGCTGTGGTAGGTGACCCTCCCCTTGGGACTTCTCCCTGCTGCCAGCAGGCTCTCTTGGAGGCTGGCAGGGTGTCAGTGGGCCTGGTGCTGCCGTGGGCTGTGGATAAGTTGTCACAGTCCAGGCTGATGGCCTGTGAGCTGAATAAGTTGCCCTTGTGTGCAGTTGGTCAACATCACCTCCACCCGGCTTCAAAATCAGGCAGAAGGAGGAAAACACTGCATCTAGCCCCCAAAACTATTTATGAACTCTCTTATCACACACCCAGACAGCGTGAGCTGTCAGCTCACACCTCCAGAGAGACTGAGAACGGCAGGGGAGAGGCTGCCAGGAGTGCCACTTTTCCAGCAGACAAAGGAGCACATTTTGCCCATGACTCCTCTGAGATCTCAGGAGGAATTTGAGGCTGGCAAGGGGCCAGAGCCTCTGAGAAGCGAGGCCCACCATTGGGCTGGGGAAGTGGGGTTTCCACAGAGGAAGTCACAGTGTGCCCACCCAGCCCGGGGATGATGTGTGCTCCGAGATGTCACCCTGCGGTCAGGACGCTTCCGCCAGGGCGTGCATTTCCTGCTGCTCAGGGGAGTCCCCTTGTGATGCCTCTGGGCTCTCCAGGGAGTACCTCCTACACCGGGTGCCCTCCTGCCACCGTGGCTGGCTGCCAGCTGTCCCTGATGCATGGGAACCCACCATGTGGGCAGTTCAGGGAGAGTGGAAAGGCAGTTTCATGCAGCTGGGGGCTGGCAGCAGCTCCTGTGCATCATGGAAAGTTACCTGCCAGCTCAGAAAGCTGTGTCACATGGTGGCTTTTCTTTGCCATCTCGTCATCCAGCCTTTGCTTGTGCTGAGGAAGGAGGAACTGAGATGATGTCTCAGGGTGGGTGATGCAGTAGGTGCTGTGCTCCACAGAGGTGTGAGGTGAAGGGGGATGGGGAGCCTATGTCCAGTTTTTTGCTTTTTCACTTTTGGATATGTGACCAGAGGGGCAAAGCCCTGGCTGAGCCAAAGCAGCCTCTTCCTCTGTCCTAATCTTCCTCCCTGCTGGATGTGGCTCCCTGCCTTGTCCCATTTCAGTAAAGCCTCAGTGGGAATGGGCACCACCTATGAAAGCACTCTAGGTGCACTGCAAGGGGCAGCACTTTAAAGAAAGCCACAAATATCTTGCACATGAGTAGATTGGTCTGACTTTGTACCCTGCAGATGTGGACAAGAAAATGAAAACATTTTTCTTGCCTGGGCTTTGCCACTGATTCATTGGACAGCAGTACTGGGGTCCAAAAATGTGAGAGAGGGAGGGAGCAGGCACCCACATGGGCTCCCGTGGTCGCTCTTGGGTCTCAGGACTTTTGAAAAAAGAATTACATGTTTCTGCTCCTTCTCTTCCAGGGTGGTCCAGTTGAAATCCTGCCTTTTCTCTACCTTGGTAGTGCCTACCATGCTTCCAAGTGCGAGTTTCTCGCTAACCTGCACATCACAGCCCTGCTAAATGTCTCCAGGAAAAGCTCAGAGTCCTTCAAAGACCAGTATTGCTACAAGTGGATACCAGTAGAGGACAGTCACACAGCAGACATCAGCTCTCACTTCCAGGAAGCCATAGACTTCATTGGTAGGTACCAATGAACAGATTTGCAGATCTTCATGCCTTTTAAACTAATTTAAAATGTAAAATCAATTAAAATACATTTAGTTAATTTTATAATAAAATATGTATTGAAGTCTACTGAATTTTGTGAAGGAAAAAAAATCCAGTTCCTGGGACTTGCATGCCAGAGTCAGTAAAACCATTGCCTTACTCTGCTGAGATATCCCAAAGGTGGCGTCCTAGAAATCCATTGTCCTCCCTTATCACAGAGCTCTTTACATTCCTCCTTTTGATCGTGCTGTATCTCACCCTTAAATCAAATACCCTCATGCATAAAAATGAGGAGGCCTTTAGAAAAGTTTGTGCTATTCCTTTTCAAATCTTCCTGTGTTCGGCTGAGTGGGTGAGCGAAGGCGAGCTGTGCCAGGGAGCACAGGGGAGAGGATTCTCCCTGAGAAGCACAACATGGTTTTGTGGGATGGAGAAGCCTTAGCCCGGGTGGAGATCATGTTGAAATTGGTACTGTTGCTCTTCAGGAATATTCAAGTTACAGACTCACTGGACTTATTGCTCAGCTGAGTTTGAGTCCTTCAGCAGTGCAGGCAGAATTATAAAAACCTGATCTGAGGGTGCTCTCTAAGTCCTCCCCCTTCCCAGACATCTCACACCTTTCAGGGAAATAATAATTTATGGCACCTTTCTGTCCTATCCTCAACCCTTTCTGATAGATGTCGAGTCACTTAGAAATTTCCCAGATTTTGAGGACAACTTTAATTTTCACTTTCTTTTAAAATTGGGCATGTGGTGTAGATGCTGGGGATGACTCAAATCCACGTCTTCCTTATTTTGTGCAGTAGCTAGATATAACTGGTCGTGGTGGCAGTCCCCTGGCAGACAATTGAAGGCAGGCAAATGATAACTTCCTCAGCTCTGTGTGTTTCCCTGAGCACTGCACTCAAAGTTATCCATAAATTGGAGATTGAACATGTTGCTCAAGGCAATAGAGCAGAGAGAAGTCTATTTTTTGAACAGTGTTATTGTGTGGAAAGGGCTTATTTTAAGCACATTCTCTTTAATAACAATCATTGTGTTGTGTGAGTAACCACAGTGGCTCCTGTTGTGTAAAATGGGTGCTTTGCATAAGCCTTTTATATCCTGACTTAAGTCCAAGCATCCTTTAACCAGGCTATAATTAGCAGCTGCCTACCAGTGCTTGTCTGCTTTGTGGTGAGGCCCCAGGGACTAAGCTCAGCCTCTCCACCCAAGGGTACCTCCTGGTACTGCTGTTTGCTGCCAAGCAGGGAGTTAGGATTTTGAAGAAAAATCCTGTTTTTCTAGCAAAGATGATGACAGCCCCTGCAGTTTTTGAGTGACCAGGTAGTGGGAGGGCTGGCCGGGCTTAGCTTTACACAACATTTTGAGCTGCAGGCAGAGAAATGCAGCTACAGCACTGCCTGCATCACAATGCTCTTGAATGTCAGTTGTTCCAAAAGAGAAGTAGGCACAATGAAGGAGACAGGGATGGACTTTCCTAAAAAATGCAAAAAGAACCAAATCAAGGTCCACAGATTCTAAAACCATGCTCAGGTATGTCACAAGCTGGGTTTTGTCCTCCTTGTCTGTCAATCTCCATGTCTCCCTAGTACCCAACAGCAGAGCAGGCCTCTCTTTGCTGGTAGACTGACTGTGTCCCCAGCCCTGGGTGTGTCAGTGTCCTCTCCATGCCCCACAACAGCTGATGTCTGCAATGGCTTTTCCCCCAGATTACGTCAGGCGAGCGGGCGGCAAGATCCTGGTGCACTGCGAGGCGGGGATCTCGCGCTCCCCCACCATCTGCATGGCCTATCTCATGAAGACAAAGAAGCTGCGCCTGGACGAAGCCTTTGACTACATCAAGCAGCGCCGGAGCCTGATCTCACCCAACTTCGGTTTCATGGGCCAGTTGCTGCAATATGAGTCAGAGATCTTGTCTTCCACCCCCAGCCCCCCTGTCACCTCGTGCAAGAGAGAAGCTGCGTCTTTCTTTGCAGAGGAACTGACTTTAGGCAAAAACTTTGAGGGCTCGTGCTTTGCCTTTCCTACCTCAGTGTTGAGTTCCGTGCCCATCCACTCTCCTGTGCACCAGCTGAAGCTCAGCCCAATGACGGCATCTTCATCCTGCTGAGCACTGTGGGGAGCCTGGAGCTGATGTGGTCCTGATCCAAACTGTGATCCCCAACAAGAACATTTCATGAATGTGCAATAGAGAAACTTCATCCACTTACTCTGAGATGGAGTGGTTGTCATGGGTCATACTTCCCATATGCTGTGACTGTAAGATGCAAGAGGTCTAAGCATGGCAGGTTTTCTGAACTTTTATTGTCCTTTTTTTAAGAAATACAAAGTGCTTTTTTAGGGTTTTAACCACACAATGTGCACCCACTACTGTATTTCCAGATTCCTGGGGAACAATGAGAAATCCATTTAGTATGTTCTCAGTTCCCATTTCTTCCAATCTTATTTTTGAAAAGACCCTCACTTAAAGCTTCAAGCAATAAACAGCAGCAGCAGGGAAGCAAGCAAAATGAAAAGCACTACCTTTGCAACCACAGAGGTGGCGAGAGTGAATATTTGTTCAAATCCTTCTCTGGCTTTCCTCCTCCCCTCTCCTGTGTCATGTTTCAGGTAGCAAAGGGCTGGAGTGGGGAGAGGGAGCACCTTTTCCAGGACACTGCTGCACAACCAGGTGAACATCCCCTCTTGTGCTCCAGCCTCCGAAGTGTCAGGTATTGTCCACAGTGTAACTGGATACCAACCCCCCCGCCAGTGGGTCCATTCAGGTGTGGCATTTCCTGTACTTCTGTATTTGCCTTTGTACTGGATGTGCTTTTAAGTAAAGCAGGGACTTGCGGTCTATCAGCTACCCTGCTGAGCTATTATCCTCTTATCTGTTTTTTTAAGAACAGCCCTAGAATACTTGAATGTCTCAACAATCCTCATCCCATCCACTTCCCAACTGTAAAACACTGTAACTGCTGGACTTCACACCAAAAAAACCTGACAAGCTTTCAGCTCCAAAACAACTTTTTCTCCATCCCTTCCCAAGTGTTCTCACTGTGTATCGTGTATGGTCAAGTGGTCTTTTCAGTGTTATGTGACTTGCTTAGAGTGTGTGGTCACCTCTAGTCAGCCTTTGTCCAGAAAAAATTATTTCTGTCTTGCTCACATTGGCTTCTGTGTCCACAGGGAGTTCAGAATGAGTGTCTCTGTCTGTTGACCTTTTTAGTATTTTTTAATATGTAATATGTATGGGAAATGGCAATAATTTCCAGGAGATCTCGTGAATGTGAAAAAAAAAAAAAAACTGCAATGGTTTTTATGGTGTGTAAAAAATAATAAAGTTAAAAAATGCCAGGAAAATAAAGCTGTTGTACTTGGATTGATCTGTGAGAGTGCATTGGGAGAGCTTGGTGGCAGGAGAGGTCACCTGAGAAAAACACCATGGTGTAAAAGTGGTGTAAGAGGGTAGAAGAGATGGGAAAGCATCACTGTGCTGTGTGCTGAAAAGCCACCAAGGTTCATCACTACAGAGGGGAGAAGGTGAGGGGGAGGATTGTTTTAAACAGAATGACATGAGTCACGGTGGCGTCACTTCCCAGCAGCCAGGCAGGCACTTCTGTTTTGATTCATGCATGGTTTATATAAGATTTACCATCTTGCTGAAGATGAAAATCTGAACTAGGCACGGCCCCCACTTCCTTCCAACCCATGACAAGGGATGCTACTTGTCCTGGGCCTTAGAGCAAAGCTTGTGTGTGGCATGCAGCACCTCTGGGTGCCAGGAGCCAGGCCATGTGGGTGGTACTCGTCTTTTCACTTTTTTAAATGAAAAAAAAAAAAAAAAGAATAACCAGCATGTCTGATGCATTTCATACCCCTTTTCATCTTGAATTTTCTAGGCTTTTCCTGGATCATCACTGCAGCATATTTATGATCTGCAATTCCAAATTATAGAGCTGAAAAAATCTATGGCAAATATCTGTGTTACAGAGCATGTGTGCACATACGCATCCATTCGTAACTTCTTACCTCCAGGGAAGTAAATCTGACAGAAGAGAAGGTCTTACTGGAGATGTGCCTTGGATTCCTTACCCAGTGACAGAGGGATGTGTCAGCAGCCCTGCCTGGGCTCTGGGAAACCTGAGCATGGGAACCAGCAGCCAGGGAATAAGGCAGATGATCTAGTAAGAGCAGATAAATTAATTTTCTGAAAGACCTGATTGGTCCCCTTGGGAAACTGTGGAAAGGGCTTTCTGCCTCTCAGCCCACTCAAGCACCCAAGCAGAAAGGCTGTTGAGCTTAGTGAGAGTGGCCATGTCCAGAGTACTGAGACCTACAACTTGGAGAGAAACAGAGCAGCCAACAGCTCTCATTAAAACTGCAGTAAACCCTTCTGGGTAGACAACCAGCTTTGTGTCTTAAGGATTGGAAAGCTGAAACCCTCAGTAGTCAGTGATGGAATATTTGCAGGGCACAAGGCAGTGGGCTGAAGGGGTTAACAGAGGGACTCCTGACCTTGACCTTTGACCAAGGCAGCTGGCAAAGATCACAGGCCAGGGGAAGGAGCCAGGTATTAGCAGAGAGGGAAGGGCAGCACTTTGTGTTTGGAGGGGAGCTCTTATCCTGGGCTTTAAGCACGGTGTGTTGGTGGATAGCTTTAGCAGGGCGAGATGCTGGGCTGGGATTCAGCAAGGATAGAAGGCCACAGCCCTGTGGGAGCCTGAAGAGGAGTGGTTGTCATGCCTGGACACAGGAGACCAATGTTTATGCTCCTGCTCAGGGCAGGGGTCCTCTCTTCTTGGCTGGAGAGGCTCAATTCACCTCTCCTTCTTGCTAAAGAAAGTCCTAGCATCCAAGTCAGATTGGGATGCAAGTGCTGCCTCCCAGAGGGTTGTGTTCCCATGCTCATGCTTGTGCCTGCTCTGCTACTTCAGTGCTGTGATCTGAGCACTAATATATGAAGGTGAGTGTGTCAAATCGGGGTAGCACCTACCTAGGAAAAGGCAAAGTGTAGGAACTCACATGTGCAAGGCAGGGCCCTGGTTCTGTGCTTCCAGACAGCAGCACCCAATACATACCTTCATCCTTGGGGAAAGGAACAGTTCCACCCATGTTCTGTGGTTTGTGCACTGAGAAAATTCACCAGGTTTGGTAGGATGGAAGATTTAGGAGGCTTTTGTAGCCCAAATGAGCTTGGGTTTGAGTGGCTCATTGCTAAGGATGGAAGCTCAGATCAGGCAGGTATGTGCGGAATGTCAGAGCTGAAGGGTGGAAGGCTGAGCTGGCTGGCTCAATGTGCCTGTGTCCATCTGCCAGCTAAGCTTCGCAGAGGAATAGGGGCCTCAAAACCAAAATTCTGATGGAAAGCAGAAATCCTTGCTATAACAGCAAAGGGAAGGCTGCTACCAGGATGCTTTCAGACTTCAGAAGAGGCAAATGAGGGAAAGATGGCAGGGCTATACTCCGAGACAAAGCTGTAGTTAGAGCTTATCCATTATGATGCCAGAATCCACAGAAGATGGGAGGAAATATCAGAGAAAATAGGGTTTTTCAAGTTCTGTGGCCTATGGAAGTACTAGTTCAGCACTGTTCTGGGATGTGACATCTCTCCATTCACACTCCTGATGGTGCACCCTTGTGTCCTGGACAGCTTGGTGCCTCCCGGACCTTTCAGATCCTGGAGGACTGAACAGGGCTTGTGCTATGTAGCTTTTGGTCCCTTGCTTTTTGGCTTGCAAGGAGCAGTTATGTTGTAGGCATGAGAGCAGTTGCTCAGCCTCTGGCTCTGCTCTGCACATGCTGCCTTTCCTTTCTGTCTCCAAGAGAAACAAGCATTCAAGAAACTGCCACAAAAAAAAATACATATCTTTACATCATTGCAGATCAGATTGTGAAGAAATCTAGGGTGGAGTTGGATGAGTGGGTGCTGTCCTTAAGTGTCCCTAAATGTCTTTTTAGTCCATACATTTGCTGGTGTGATTTGCAGTCTATTCTGGTTACAAAGCACAGGTTTTCTCCAGCTTCTTCCTGCCTAACGAGCTTTCCAATAGGTAGAAATTGCATCCTTACCAGTAAAACCCAGGTAAAATTGACCTGCTCCATGAGGAATTGGTCCTGAGATGCCCATCCCCAGTCCCTGAGCACCACAAGGTAGGCAGCTCTTCTTAGCTTCTTGCCCTATGGTGGGAGCTTCTTTTTTTAGGAGACAAAGCATGAATGAAGAAGGTATTCTGCAGGCGTTGTCATTTGTATGCTAAAAACAACACGTGGCTTGCAGGGAAGTCAAAGGTCCAAATGTGCCTGTAACATGGGAAAAAAAATGTGTGAGGCCCCAGGTATGGTGAATTTGACCCTGCATCTCCACTTTTCACAGCTTCATGTTAATTGGAGAGTAGACACACTGCCAGCTCACTCTCTGGGGAGAAAAAGGCAGGAACCAATTTGCAGAGCCACATAAATATGGAAGTGGGATTTTTTTTTTTTTACGTGGGAGGTGTTACCAGTACCACACATTACGGTTTCTTGGCTTTATCACATCATAGGCTTTTACTGAGACATGAGTAAGTTTGCTAAATAGGAAATATGAAAATAGCTTGTGAAATAGGTTGAGTCATCAGAGAAAATCAAATGGAGTTCTGACACCAGGGCCTCAGTTGTAAAGTCCTACTTTATTTTACCATTGCATTAGAAACTTTGGGATCATTTCAATCTTTTCATTTCAGCTTCAAAATTCAAGGTACTCTGACATCCAAGTAAAGCTTTCTAAATCCATTCATGTTTTCCATCAGTAGTGGTGATACATCCCTATGTGTCCTGCCTATGAACACTAGCAGGGAATGTAAAAGTTATCAAGACAAATGGCTTCTGCAGCAACAGCTGAAATGCTCAGCACTCCTTCCAGCCTTGTCTAGCTCTTGAGAAGTCTGGCCCCTAGATATCCCTTTCATGTGCTAGCCTATCAAAGTCACTGGCTGTTATTGGTAGCTTCTGGGAATCCTAGCAGGACACCAAACAAGCCCATAAAGGCAGCAACTCAAGATCCGGAGTGACAGTGGTAGATAGAAAGGGGGAAAGAACCGTAAAGGGCCTCAGGGATTGCCTGGGGACTCCCATATTTCTGTCAGGGATTGTTCTCATATCCCAGAATATGACCTGTGCTGGGCAGCTCATGGGTAGAAAGCATCTCTAGGACACAAGCTTTCCTGGGAGCCATGGGACACATAAGACATGCTCTGCATGAGGAGAAGTGGGAAAGACCTTTAATAGAAATCCTGCCCCAGCCTTGGCCGATGCTAGCTGCAGTGATGACTAGGACTTCACAACAGGCACCACATAAAGGTTTGTGATCTGCTGGGACTGTTAGAGGCTCAGAAATGAAAGGCAAACTGATAAAGGCCTCAGTTTGAGCTTCAAACCCCCTTGGCATAAGCATTTTTCCAGATTTGGTTTTCTAAGCTAATCATGTTAGTAAAGTTAAACATTTGAGCAAGTGTTAGTTGGACCAGGTTTATGTCTCCCAAGTGACATGACAATGTAGTTTGTATGGGCTCTCTTTTTTGGGGGAGGGGTTGGGGGGCTTGTCTTTGCATGAACAGTGGTTTATTTCTGTCACAGTGATACTCCATTTCTGAGATTCCTTTGTAAGGCAGACAGTGGGTGAGTCATCTTGTTATTAAATTGCCCATACATTGTGAGCTGCCTCCAGGCCCTGAACCAAAGCCGATTGCCTTGGTGGGGAGAAGAGCCCCCAAACACTGGGATTCAGATTAGGCCATGGATGAATCTTTCCATTAAATCTTTATTTTAAGGAGCCGTTTGTTCTAATTGGAGCTAAGACTTGCCTCTGCATTGAAATGGCATTTGAGGTCTAGGGGACTCAACTAGAACAACGGGTTTATCCTCTCTGCTCTAATGCCTCCAATCACATTAAGTCAAGTTAACTGGAAAATCAATTGACACCAATTCCAGCATGACCATTAACTTCCATCCGGCTGGGCCCCGAGCGGCTGGCCAGGGTGAAGAGATTCCTAACAGGGATGGAGCAGAACTGTGCTCATCTCCTAGCTATGCTCGCAGCCTGAGCTCTCCCCAGCAATGCCCACATTGCCCTGAGTAATTACTGCGGCTAACAGAGAGCCCAGGGGTCAGGCAGTCTGGGATCAGTTGTGGGCTCTCCCTGTGGATTTCCAGGGCAAGTGATGCAGCTGGTCCTGCTGGCACAGCCACATTTGTCAGAAGCATAAAGGAAGTGAGCGAGACCTGGACTGACCAAGCTGACCAGATGGGTCCCTTGAGTATATAGAAAAGGACAATAGCAGCAAAACTGTGTTTTCCACAGGACAGCTCACTTTTGCAGAGGATATTTCTGCTCTGCTGG